GGTGGCAGTGATGTTGGTAGAGGGTGGCAGTGATGTTGGTAGAGGGTGGCAGTGATGGTGGTAGGGGGTGGCAGTGATGGTGGTAGAGGGTGGCAGTGATGGTGGTAGAGGGTGGCAGTGATGGTGGTAGAGGGTGGCAGTGATGGTGGTAGAGGGTGGCAGTGATGGTGGTAGAGGGTGGCAGTGATGGTGGTAGAGGGTGGTAGTGATGGTGGTAGAGGGTGGCAGTGATGGTGGTAGAGGGTGGTAGTGATGGTGGTAGAGGGTGGCAGTGATGGTGGTAGAGGGTGGCAGTGGTGGTGGTAGAGGGTGGCAGTGATGGTGGTAGAGGGTGGTAGTGATGGTGGTAGAGGGTGGTAGTGATGGTGGTAGAGGGTGGTAGTGATGGTGGTAGAGGGTGGTAGTGATGGTGGTAGTGATGGCAGTAGTGATGGCGGTAGTGAGAGAGTGATGGCAGTAGTGATGGCGGTAGTGATGGCGGTAGTGATGGCAGTAGTGATGGTGGTAGTGATGGTGGTAGTGATGGTGGTAGTGATGGTGGTAGAGATGGTGGTAGTGATGGTGGTAGAGATGGTGGTAGTGATGGTGGTAGTGATGGTGGTAGAGGGTGGCAGTGATGGTGGTAGAGGGTGGTAGTGATGGTGGTAGAGAGTGGTAGTGATGGTGGTGAGGGTGGGTAGTGATGGTGGTAGAAGGTGGTAGTGATGGTGGTAGAGGGTGGTAGTGATGGTGGAAGAGGGTGGTAGTGATGGTGGAAGAGGGTGGTAGTGATGGTGGTAGAGGGTGGTAGTGATGGTGGTAGAGGGTGGTAGTGATGGTGGTAGAGGGTGGAAAGTGATGGTGGTAGAGGGTGGTAGTGATGGTGGTAGAGGGTGGTAGTGATGGTGGTAGAGGGTGGTAGTGATGGTGGTAGAGGGTGGTAGTGATGGTGGTAGAGGGTGGCAGTGATGGTGGTAGAGGGTGGCAGTGATGGTGGTAGAGGGTGGCAGTGATGGTGGTAGAAGGTGGTAGTGATGGTGGTAGAGGGTGGTAGTGATGGTGGTAGAGGGTGGCAGTGATGGTGGTAGAGGGTGGCAGTGATGGTGGTAGAGGGTGGTAGTGATGGTGGTAGAGGGTGGTAGTGATGGTGGTAGAGGGTGGTAGTGATGGTGGAAGAGGGTGGTAGTGATGGTGGTAGAGGGTGGTAGTGATGGTGGTAGAGGGTGGTAGTGATGGTGGTAGAGGGTGGTAGTGATGGTGGTAGAGGGTGGTAGTGATGGTGGTAGAGGGTGGTAGTGATGGTGGTAGAGGGTGGTAGTGATGGTGGTAGAGGGTGTAGTGATGGTGGTAGAGCGTGGCAGTGATGTTGGTAGAGGGTGGCAGTGATGTTGGTAGAGGGTGGCAGTGATGGTGGTAGAGGGTGGCAGTGATGGTGGTAGAGGGTGGCAGTGATGGTGGTAGAGGTGGCAGTGATGGTGGTAGAGGGTGGCAGTGATGGTGGTAGAGGGTGGAGTGATGGTGGTAGAGGGTGGTAGTGATGGTGGTAGAGGGTGGTAGTGATGGTGGTAGAGGGTGGTAGTGATGGTGGTAGAGGGTGGTAGTGATGGTGGTAGTGATGGTGGTAGAGGGTGGTAGTGATGGTGGTAGAGGGTGGTAGTGATGGTGGTAGAGGGTGGTAGTGATGGTGGTAGAGGGTGGTAGTGATGGTGGTAGAGGGTGGTAGTGATGGTGGTAGAGGGTGGTAGTGATGGCAAACAATAAAAAATGTTGAGTTGTTGTTGTTGGTGTGGATCAACGAAAAACAGTTAGCGAGAGATAGTGTTGTGAAGGCGATAACTTGTGAAAAGCCAAGGCAGTTGCATGCGGATCTTGTAAAGAATATGCCAACAAGAGTCTTCAATAAAGGTAAAAGCGATTCAGATTTTCATTTATTCACTAAAATTAGTGCTTTATATTCATCATTGTTTTCTGCATGTAAAACTATAGTTATTCTCTGCAAAATGTATATTTTGTTAATATTTTTGGGTGTCTAGAACGTATTAATTGGATTTACATTATTTCTTATGGGAAACATTACTTCGGTTTTCGTCCATTCAGATTTCGACCAACCTTCTAGAACAGATTAAGGATGAAAACCAGGGGTCCACTGTAATTTTTTTTGTTTAAAAAGTGGACAATAGCAGCAATATTAATTTCAGGGGTCTGGACAATGAAAGGGTTCAATTACAATACAAATCCAATGGGACAATATATGATGCCAGTTTTAAATGGGAGCTGAAGGAAGGTTGGAAAAACTGGGACATAACTGGATGAAGACAGGTATTGTTCGACAAGCATTTTGCTATCTTCATTACATTAAGGAGATGGGATGCTTTTTAACAACAGCTCTGAAGTGATTGGCAGAGAGGGAACCTTTAGACTTCAAGCAAGGATTTCCAGATTTTAGGGCCTTTTATGTGCAATGGTGTTTTACACAGGGCGAGTCAGATGCGGGGGGATATTAAAGAGGTTTCTTCATCTTGTGTTATGCCTGTGAGTTGTTTCAGCTATCAAGAAAGAGTATTAGGGGAAAATTTATGTTGAAATTGATTGTCCTATATAAATAATAAGCACACTAGTATGAGTGCATACTATACACAGTGGACCCCCGACTAATGATATTATTTCAATCCAGAAGTCTGTTCGGGTGCTGTTATAGACCGAATTTGTTCCCATAAGGAATATTGTGAATTAGATTAGTCCGTTTTAGACCCCCAAAAATACACCTACAAAAGCACTTACAAAAATACTCTTACATAATTGGTCGAGTTGGGAGCTCATCGTTAGTCGGGGGTCCACTGTATATTAAGAAAGATTAAACTTTTGAAGAATGGAAACGTGTGTTGTCTGGCAATGGATTGGATAATCATTCGTACAGCGACTTTTTTTGTGAATTATTATTGGTTTTAAGTGATTTGGTGTAGCAGATCCCCAGGCACAAATGTCAGGTGAGGTTAGGATAGATTGTATTAGAATGGGTGGTTTCTTGTACTCAATAGAAAAGAAGGCATACTAGAGATATAATTTGGATGAATGGAGCAATGAAATTGATTTAAAATAAGACTCAAATTGGGCAAAATTTCCAATGCATAAATTGCACCCAGTCTCAGAGCAGGCCTCCTAAACGGAAAAATAAAAACAAAAAACAATTAGAAACAAAGATAAAGGTACTGTAAGTATATAATGAACACAAGTTAGAAGATTCACCTGACATCTTACATATTCACAAGATGGTAAAGACCAGCAGTGATGTCAGTGTACAATAACAGATTCTAGAGATTTTACTTCACGTGTGCATGACAGCAGTATATTTAATATAATAATAACAAACAAAAAACAAAATAATAATAATCTTCATTCGTACATATCACATGATACAACCGATACATATTTGACATTTTTAGTATACTTTCTATAAAGTCCCTGGTTATGCAAAGCATTTCAGGCATTTAAGTTAATCTTGTTCCCCAGGATGCATCGCACAACAGTCAACCAACACCCCAGGTACCTACTTACTGCTAGGTGAATAGGAGCAGCATGTGTAAGGGAACATGACCAACATTTCACCCTTGCCAGGAATCAATCCCAAACCCCCAGTAAAAGTGCTGAGAACACTACCAACTAAGCCATGAGCAATATTCTTGGAATATCTTATGAAGTCATAAGGCCTGGATTCCCAGTCACCATATTCCTGTCAATTTGGCCAATTGAAAAAAAAAAAAAGTAATCCTTTATGGATAACGCTTTGCCTACACAGTTAAAGCCCACTGTGTGGGTTTTAAGTTGATAAAGGGTCACATTATATTGCATTTCTTTTTCATTGTGTTAGTATTTATATAATACTGGCTGGCTGGCTGACTGTTTTTGTGATATACCCATGACTGGTTTGTATACATCTTTATGTAAAAGCTTAAGTCAACATTGATGTATGTGCCACTCCTAATAAAACCTATTTTGTCATCAGACTAAGAAAGTCACTAGTGTGTTTGTCACTAACACAATTAAATACCAACCAACTTTCATCCAGCTGTTCTTTGAGTGAAGTCTTGACAATCAGGTTTGTGTTATATTTCAGGGATGAAATGAGTTTCCTTCTCTTCGAACACCTGCATCATAATGGAAAAGTAATATAGGATGACATTATGCCAAAGTCTACATCCAATCTAAAGTATTCAAGTTGGAGTGAATAAATAAGCAAGCTTCATTCAAATTAAATATAAAGATGTTTATATAAACTGCTCTTTAAAAAAAAAAAAAATCAATGTTTGGATTATGCCTATGATTATTACAAGCCTACAGTGATGGTAATGAAGATTCCAACTAGGATATTCAAACAAAGCCAAACAGTATGGTTTATTTCCACTGGGATCACTGAACGTCCGTTTTTCCAACACTGAAATTAATGAAGGTTCATATCCGAGTGAGGTAGAGTGTATCTGAGCCAGGTAGGCCTAATGCTGGAGGTCAAGATGACAACCATGGCCCATTAATGGTGGTAGCTGTGGCACTTACTATAATTTCACAAAACTCGGCAGCGTACAATTATCGATTGTGACAAGGGCGTGAATGGTGAGTGGGAAGATGTAGAGTGGGAGTGGGAAGATGTAGAGTGGGAGAGGGAAGATGTAGAGTGGGAGAGGGAAGAGAGAAATAAGGAAGAGAGTAAGTTAGACTCGGGTCATAAGGGTGCGCCACCACCCTCACCCACACCCATTTTTCACCCTTAAATTTCCATTTACTCTCCCTCCCAGAGCTTATATTGCCTTTTACATTTTTGTCCAGAGCTATGCATGCGTGGCATGGCGGGGAAGCCAGAGGGCGACCACAACTGGGTTAACTCAAACTCCTGTATTGTTTGTCAATACGGTTGAAAATCGTACGCGTCGAGGCTACTCCGTTGCGTACAATTTTCTATCATATTCCCCGAACTAACTTTATTTTCACCCAAATTCTAACTACCACACGAACCTCATACCACGTACCTCCGATTCGTCACCCTCTTCGCTATCTGATTCTCCCGATACTGTGAAAAATTTATCTTGTAGGTCCGCATACGTTTGGCATTTATCCGGGGTTGGTGGTCTCAAGGTGGCGGTGGAGTCAGCCTTCGCACCCTCCAGTATTGAGCTCTCTTTCTCGCTGTCGGCGACAGGTCCCTGTACTACATTCTGCATCTTTCACAACTAGATTATTTTCTTGGCATTAACAAGCATGCCAAAGTCTTAAAATCACCATCTGAAGGGATAAAAAGCACTTATTTCGAGTAATAATCACTTGAGGCAAACACCCGCCATGTTACATTACAGACTGGAGAAAGACCCGGATGAGCCGGTTCCAATAACTTCACACCCATCACGTGAAGAAATACTACTCTCTCTATCTCTTATTGCCACTAACTAACCACAAAATCACTAACATTCATTGGTTAATATATCAAACTAAAAAATTACATATGAAAAAGAGGGGTGCCCAAGAGAGAGATATTGATAAATTTCTTCAACACATGTTTCCGGTATTTAGAAGTTGTAGTGGTCGCTGACTGAGTTAAGTTACCAGCCACAGCATTGGTATTTAGCCCATTTTCTCTGATGAATTAAACTATATTTTTCAACGAAATAAATATTTAACGGCAAAATTACATAAAATGCGAAATATAGCGAATTTATCGACAAGTTTATTGGACGACATGCCAACCCCTGCTATATCTTCCGGGATAAGAACAAAGTAAATAACTCCACCATTCATTGAGGAGACAAATAATATAGGATAGTTAATATTTTCTTGATTGCTTAACCTGACATGATTACGTCAGCGTATTAATAAGACTGGATGATGACCTGATCATCTGTTACAGTTGTACCTTAATGAAAACCTATATAATTAAGGGGGACTGCAAAGTTGAACATTTCTTCCTCAACTACATACTGGCCTATATAATGTGGTAATATATCAACATCCATACTACTGAATAAAAGAAACATTAAATAAAACATTTAAACAGTTATTTAAATGTACAGAGGCTACGTCATGGATTTTCATAATGACCGAATATGTTGAATTTCTGAACACAATTGCGACTCTTCGGCTAATTACAACAGATTTAAGAACTGTGTTGTGATCAAGAGAATGAGAAATGACTCCAGACAAAGTATTGAGGACAGGATAACAAAGTTTATTGTGCATGCATTGAGCCAGTAACTGGTGGCAGGTCGTGGGCTGCCAGTCCACCATGGCAACCACTGGCAACTGTACTGTGCATGCCATCTAGTTCTCATGACCGCACCACCATAGATGCGCAACCTACACCAAAACACACTCTCACAACAAGATAATAACCAGCAAATGTAAAATGAACATTTAAGACTAAAAAGAAAATTCGCGAGAAGCTAAAACACAGACATTCGTTACTGCCATATAAAGAATAAAATAACTCCTTATAGCCAAGGGCACGGCCAGTTCCCTGGAAAAAGCTATGTCTATCACCATGCACTCACTCTCGAACCAAGAAAATAATTGCAAATATATCACACTCTTATAAATGTACTGGAAAGTAGAAGTGGTTGAAATATCTAAGGCCGTAGAGGATATACACTGAAGACTTACTTATGGGGTGATTTTTATTTTTTTAAGAGTTTTAAGTACAGCCGCATTTTGTGGCTACAATGATCTAGAATGACATTTTGCGAGTAATGTAACTTCTTGTCTATAATGCTAGGTCAGATGTGATGTACATTGGTATATAAGAACATAAGAGAAAGGAACACTGCAGTAGGTCTACTGGCTCATATACAAAGGTCTGAATCATTCGCACTTGTGTATCTAACCCACCAGTAAATTTTGCATCAAAATTATATGCGCTGTATTATGTGGCTACCTTGATCTATATGATATTTAATAAATCACAAACTAATTGTTCGCCAAGCACACTCTTCCCTACAGGTAGGTTTTCCTGTCACACTCCTTCACATAAGACAGGTTTCTAAATTCAAATTAAAAATTTATTTCTCTACGTAGTACACAATATGTAACTTACATGTAATAAAATATTGTTAAGCACAAAGAAAGTCACTAGCATGCATGAGCATCTCGGGCAGAAAACTTCATTCAGATTATTAGCCCTGGAGGGTTAATAACCCAGGAAATTCCAAGTAAGTCAGGCAGAGTTGGCTTATTTCCATTGAGGTCTTAAATCCTCTCCCAGGATGCAACCCATAACAGTTGACTAACTCCTACTAACTAGTTACTACTAAGTGCATGGGAGCAGCAGGTAGCGTTAAGAGATCTGCCCATAACGTTCCATACGATCCCAGGTCCTGCAGCTGTGAGCTGAAAACTGTACCACTGAGCTACGAGTAATGGAATCTCTCAAGCTGAGCTGGAAAGGTATATTATATGCCAGTACATTTATATATGAAATATGATGTCTTTACATCACCGAATAACTCTTCCCAAATTTTGTTTTATTGTTTTATATATGGAACATTGTCTTCAGCAAAAAGTTATATACGTATTATCCAATAAACAACTATTACCGGACATATATATACACCAAACGGTGTATCTCTTAGTAAATATACATTAAGGTTATTTTATTTCATAGTAACTAATGGGTTGTAACCTTGATATTTCTAGTGAACGTTTGTATACTTTAAAATATGGCTTAATAGTCAGAGTGCTTCAAGAGGTGACATATGTTAACATTACTTAGATATAAGTATTTTAGTTGGAAAGAATGAGCAGCCTAAAAGGGACACTGAGGACTACCAAGCACAGGGAAAGGAACACGCAATAATGTCAGCAGACTTTTTTTTTTCAACGAACATAATGAGGAATATGTCACGAAGGCCAGGAAAATGACAGGGTGGATAATTAGAACTTTCAAAATAATGAAAAATAGTGCCAATTGTGACACAATTTAAATCACTTGTGCTCTTGCGCTTTGAGTATTGTTCAGTGTTGACAGGTCCCTTCAGAACACGAGAGATTTCAGTAGCAGAACAGACTCAAAGATCATTTATGGCCTACATAGAGCCACACTCCAAAATACTGGAGTGTGAGATAGTGTTGAAGAAACCCAGTGAGGGGCAGGGGTGCCATAAGCACAACGAAACATATCAAAGTTATTTGTTTACTTTATTAAGTTTAAGGTGATGAATCATGAATAAAAGTACGGCGATGAATATATAAACTTTAGTAAAACTAATGAATGAGTTCCATAAACAGGAAATTGCTGAGAGTGGCAGCACACGGTATTGGAAAAGAAATTCTCTCTCTTTGGTCGAAGTATGGCTGACTGATAGGTAACAAAGAGTTTGCATAAATATAAAGAAATCTGAATGGGGACCACCAAGTTGTCACATTACCTCTGATTCATAACCTGCTAGAGAGCCAGGTTCCACTACCACTTAAAAATTGTCCTCTTCTGCTATTACCACTGAATCAGCCAGACGAGTGGCAGTGTGAAGTAATCAGGTTTGATACAAAGAAGGGAAAATCAGGTCCACTTCTCTGAGCCGCTCGTAGGCGTCAAGGATCGTCCTCTGAAGGTATTTATAGTGATTGAAGTAAAAGATAGGCGATTGTTACTGATGAAGAATTAGACACGTGCAACATCTGGTTATCTTTACTGTAGACGTTTAGCCATCCAGTGGCTTTATCAATACAATAAAGATACCCAGATGTTGTACATGTGTCTAATTCTTCATCTTATCGCCATTTGTAAACTATACATTTACAACATGACTGTAACTGTAATATTCATCTCTGTTATTCATTACTGTTTAATAAAATAAACTAAGAAAACGTAACTTAAAAACTAATAGATTCATATAACTGATTTTCATGTAATTAATATATTAATTTTATATTTTTTTTCATTGTTAATAATTATAATTGATATAAACGGAAATAATTCACAGTGTTAGACCTATCTAAACTTATGTATTAAACCCAAATAAAAACTTTACCGCAGCTCGATTGCTAGTGCACTCAGCTCACACACTGAGGTCCGAGGGTCGATCCCCGGTACGGCTGAAAAGCATTAGGACGTGTTTCCATAAGTCACATTCTGGCCACTCCCATGATAACCCCCAGCAGCGAAGAAAACAAACGAGCTTACCACAAAATAAATTTGCCTGGGGTGACCTAGTTGTATCAAGGTCTCAACTATTGGACCACTACGACAAGGTCCTAAATGCACTAGAAGACAAAAAGAATGCAGATGTAATATATACAGACTTTGCAAAAGCCTTCGACAAGTGTGACCATGGCGTAATAGCGCACAAAATGCGTGCTAAAGGAATAACAGGAAAAGTCGGTCGATGGATCTATAATTTCCTCACTAACAGAACACAGAGAGTAGTCGTCAACAGAGTAAAGTCCGAGGCAGCTACGGTGAAAAGCTCTGTTCCACAAGGCACAGTACTCGCTCCCATCTTGTTCCTCATCCTTATATCCGACATAGACAAGGATGTCAGCCACAGCACCGTGTCTTCCTTTGCAGATGACACCCGAATCTGCATGACAGTGTCTTCCATTGCAGACACTGCAAAGCTCCAGGCAGACATCAACCAAATCTTTCAGTGGGCTGCAGAAAAAATATGAAGTTCAACGATGAGAAATTTCAATTACTCAGATATGGTAAACATGAGGAAATTAAATCTTCATCAGAGTACAAAACAAATTCTGGCCACAAAATAGAGCGAAACACCAACGTCAAAGACCTGGAGTGATCATGTCGGAGGATCTCACCTTCAAGGACCATAACATTGTATCAATCGCATCTGCTAGAAAAATGACAGGATGGATAATGAGAACCTTCAAAACTAGGGAGGCCAAGCCCATGATGACACTCTTCAGGTCACTTGTTCTATCTAGGCTGGAATATTGCTGCACACTAACAGCACTTTTCAAGGCAGGTGAAATTGCCGACCTAGAAAAATGTACAGAGAACTTTCACGGCGCGCATAACGGAGATAAAACACCTCAATTATTGGAGCGCTTGAGGTTCCTAAACCTGTATTCCCTGGAACGCAGGAGGGAGAGATACATGATTATATACACCTGGAAAATCCTAGAGGGACTAGTACCGAACTTGCACACGAAAATCACCCACTACGAAAGCAAAAGACTTGGCAGACGATGCACCATCCCCCCAATGAAAAGCAGGGGTGTCACTAGCACGTTAAGAGACCATACAATAAGTGTCAGGGGCCCGAGACTGTTCAACTGCCTCCCAGCACACATAAGGGGGATTACCAACAGACCCCTGGCAGTCTTCAAGCTGGCACTGGACAAGCACCTAAAGTCAGTTCCGGATCAGCCGGG